GCACTGCCAGGATGGGTGACCCACTGGGAAGTTGCTCGTGAGTTCCTAAAAACAAAATCGTGAGGGAATGGTAAGCCTAAAGCGGACAATATCGTGATACGGTGGTGGAGGGGGCCCAGGATGTGGTCCCCCCGGGCTGGGATGTGACAAATGGTATCAGAGCCAATCCCTGGCCGGAAGTGTGCCGACGTGGACGTCGGGCCCCTAAGGGGTTGGATTGTAACATCCCACATCGCCCAAGGGAGTGATCCTAAAATGTATATTCTCATTCCTACCTAGCACGAGGCATTTTGGGAGCTCACTGGCTTCGGATTCCGTAGGAACTCCGAAGTTAAGCGAGAAGGAGGCCAGAGCACTCCCAGGATGGGTGATCCACTAGGAAGTTGCTCGTGAGTTCCTAAAAACAAAACCGTGAGAGAATGGTAAGCTCAAAATGGACAATATTGTGCTACGGTGGTGGACCGGGCCCGGAAAGTGGTCCCCCCGGGTTAAGATGTGACACATACATTTCGGTATTGACATTTAGGTACATTAATTCAATATAATACATTTCGGTACATACATTTAGGTTCATTATAATATATTTCGGTACAATCATGTAGGTACAAATATTTCGGTACAAAAAGTCAATTTATATATTTTGGCACAATCATTTCTGAACACTTATGTATTTATATATTTTTGTATCACAATTTTTTTTTAATATTTTCTCATTTACATTCATTTCTAATTAAAAAAAACTAAATATGTGCATATTAATAAAATTAAAATTTAATACGGAGAGATTAAATAAAAATACACATTAAATAACAAAAATTGAATGTAAATTTTGATAAAAGTACACTGAAGGGATTAAATTGAATATTTAATCTAGCACTAGGTTTTTTTTTAAAATTTTAATCTTTTGCAAGGATTAATGTTCAAAAACCCCTTAATTTTGTATATGATTTGCTAATTTTCTTAATGATATCGATTTCTCAGTTATAGTTTAATTAACATGTATGATTTAAAAATCTTATGGTGATTTGCTTCTTGTTAAAACCAAAAAATAAAAGGGTTTCTAAAATTTAATGAACTATATTTGTTGGTGAGTTCTCATTGTGAAAAGGTTTCAACATAACATCTTCCAAAGAAGAGATGATCACTTGTTACCACATAAGGCAATAAGAAGAAAGAAGTAGTAGCAAAAGGTGATTTCTCTTCTCTCCCAAGCACAATAATATCAATGTGATTAGATATGATGGGACAGATTAAGCTCACTTGGGAAAGGAGAAGAGACCAAATTGATTTAACAGAAAATAAGTTGTTGTATTGTTATAAAGTTGGGAATTGGATCTCCGCCTGAGCAAATGGTGGGATCCTCATGACCTATTAATAAGGGCCGTTTGATTTTGATTCAACGGCTACAATTATTATAACTTTTAGAAGAACCTCTTGTTTGTAACCGTTAGATCAAAATCCAACGACTCATGTTAGTGGGTCATGAGGATCCCCACCATTTGCTCAGGAGGGGATCCGATTCCATAAAGTTGGTCCTTGTTTTGATAAATTAAGTAAATGTAAAAGAGAAGTAGGTACCTGTGTAGACATTGAAATTTCCTTGATATATATATATATATATATATATATATATATATATATATATATATATATTCACTAACATAATAAATTTTGACATGTCATGACTTACGTGACATACACCATGTGTCTCACAAATTGTACACAGGGTATTTGACTCATCAAAACCGAACAAGTTATCAAAAGGGACACATGTCAACATTTGGGGAAAAATAGTTAAAGAATGATCTTTTTTAATTTTTTGATTGATTTTAATTTACATCAAACAAATTAATTGATTTAAATTTAAAACAATTAATTGATGAAGTTAAATCATGAACCGAGTCACAAATCAAGTCTTTGGTTCTTTAGTCAATGAATCAAGTCCACAATCAAGGCCAAATTCAGTCGTAGGAAAGACTTGGAAAGCCTATAATATGAGGCTCCAAGACAAAGAAAGGGGTTAGAAAATCATTCTCACACCCAGACGTTGAAGCTCTCAAGCCTTAAACTCCCAAATTCACAGACACTCAGAAGATTCAAAAAACTCTATGCATTCTTCATCATTCTTGTGAAGAACCACCAAGCACCCCTACATGTGCCGATTCCTCCATCCCCACATGTCAAAACCTTGAGGTGCTCGTTCATTCGAGATCAAGTCATCATGACCCTTAGATCAACAACACACACATTTTCACCCTAGAGATCGAATCAGAATAATCAGGTTTGTAAAGAGATTGAAACCCTACATTTACATTAATACCAAACAATTATCGGAATTACCAAAAATAATTTCAGTTATTTTAAAAGTATTTTCAAATATACCCTAAATTTGAATCCCTATTATGTGTATATATTAAGAAGATATCAAACATGATGCCGTAAGATCACTACAAAAGCCCAACGTTATCCCACTTGCCCTATGTTTTCATTGCAAAGTCCAACATTATCGCACTTGTTCTACGTTTTGTTTCTAAGCTTATTGAGTGGCCACCGTACATGTAATCACAATCGTTGCTAGTTCCAAAAACAATCACGTAGTATCCTGAATAAACAAATTAACGCTATACTTGCAAGAGTGCATTAATTGTAGTAATCAATCCGATCGATGACATGCAAGTTTGTGAAAAAGATATTAAGAATAGTCATACACGAGTAATGCTAGGGAGACTAACTAATTAGATCAAATTTTGGAAACCATATGATGTGATTGTTGATGGATGAATTATTACTTAAATTAATTAAGGTGCTTATTTTTTATTTGTGACACATTATATGATTTGCAAATTTTGTCTAAAAAATTCGTTAACCTGGCATTACTTATAGACATAATCATATGGTCGATAGGTATCAAGGCATTAGGCCACTACCTGATATTGACGCCTTCTTTTGCCTGTTTTGAATTTTGATATCAAGCTCCTATTTCTCCACTCGTACAGTTGGATTAGGGTTATCTGAGTAACAACCTCTAACGACTGTACGATAGAATATGAAGATTTTTTACGGTACTTCGAAGTATGAGATATTCTAAATGTTTTAACTATTAAATTTTTGTTTAAAAATACAAAATCAGGATTTAACAATGAAAACACTCAGAACATCCTTAGAGCACCATAAAATCTTGGTAGAATATAAGCATCAAACCCAACACTAATGCAAGGCTTTCAATACCTAAAAAGGAAAAACATCTCCAAGAGCAACTCTGAATTTTTGTTAAATTAACAAGTGAACAATGTCAAACTTTTTATCTCCAACAATACTCGCTATTTTAACAAACTTTAAATCTTTTATTATTAACAATTCAAACACAACCCACTCATTTTATAAAACAACCGTCTCTCTTTCTTTTCTCCTTGCTCAAAGGACCCTTGAGTTTTGTTATTTTTTAATATTTAATTGCTCTCTAAATTCAAAGAGTAACTGATTGTTTTGTTATAACATAAACTTTTTACAACATCTTCTTTGACAACATCTGTTGGAGATGAATTTTTGAGTTTCGTTTTTTAAAGTAGAGTTTTGGTTGTTTTACAGCATCTCTGGGGGATGCTCTGACACTATAAACTACTTTGACAACACAAAAGAGTGCGAACGTGTTCACTCAAAAAATATTCACAATAAAGGAAGAACTCGGAGATATTCTATAACTTTTTTTTTAGTACAACAATAGTTTTAAGTGCCAATTTAGGCCGAGTCATCTAATCGACCATGAGACTTGAGAAAATTTGATAGACAAGTGTTATTGTTATTTCAAAAATTTTATTCTACACTCTTCATAAGTGTATTTTTCTTTCTTAATATAAAAATTTTGGAATATAGAATGAGATTTTTAATGCTAATAACAATTCTTATTTGATATTCAACTTTAAAACTATTTGGCGATATAGCCAAAGTCATTATAAACATCAAGTGGTTTCTCGCTTATAAAGTTACAAGGGAAAACTATTTTGAGCCAACAAAAATCAATACCATGATATCTAGATGGATTCTGTTCACACACTTATTTTAACATTTCGTACACATTCCGATAATTTCTGTAATTTAATATCTATAAATATATATATATATATTACTTGACGAATAAAAATTAAAAATATAAAATAATATAGGTAGATAGCAACACTCAATTATTTAGGCACAAGGGAGTCACTTTCAGGGGATCACTTATCAGCATCGTTGACGACAATCGATAAAAAAAAATTTACAATATCAGAGTTCGGCACGGGATCCGGAGATTGCAATCAGAGACAGCCGGATCCACAGCAGTTGTTGCATCAGCTGAAGTTGTACCAATCAATCCCCGCGTATTTGAAACTGTGTACGTGCGTGACTACGTGTGAAATTGTGAGTGGTCGGTGCTTACTTGTTTTGGTTACTTCAATCAATCAAATCGTGTGCTGTAGTCTACACAATCCCTGCCCCTGCAGCCCAGGGTACTAGGCTACTTCTAGGCTGCCCCCTGCTGCTTCTGCGGTCTGCAATTTGCTGATTTTCTTCTGCTGAGCTTACTCGCACTGCTTCGATGGTGGTGTGTACTCGCTCTGTCTAATCGAAACGTGGCGTGCCTGTCCTTGTTTTTCGGGATTGGTAAAGAGATTTTGCTTTGATTTGTGGAGTTTGTTGGAAACATCAAATCAGATGGACAAATGGGTGGATTTTTGAAATCGGAAATTGGGCCGGAACTGATGCATCCAATTCCAAGTTTTTATTTAGGCCCAACCGTAAACTTGGGTTGATATTGGGCCCAGCAGCATAGCAAAGGTAAACCCAATAGGTAGTTCTAAGGCATTGGAGAAAAACTTTCATACATACATTTAGATCAAATTTAAACGTATTTTTACATGCACACGCAAAAACCCTCTCACACCTTGCGCCATTTCCCTCTCCCAACTAAATCGTGACCTTCACCATGCGTGTCTACTGCCACAGTGCTACAACCACTTGAATTGTCATTAAAACACCTCAAAAGTAGAGGAGAATTTGATGAGATTACTGCATGACTAATTGCACATTGTTTGCACAAAAAGCAAAATTACAAATTTACACGCTTAATAGAAGCCAACAATCACCGGTGCCTGCCTGATTCCTACATTTTTATTTTAGAATCAAGAAGAAACTAAACTCTGGCTACTCGTAATCAAACTCCTCATTAATCCGTAATTTGCACTCTCTTACTCTTAATCCTCTCTCATTACCATTTTAATCTTCATCCCTCCACCGGCATTATTCACACGAATAACCTCCATGCTCGTCAAACTTTTTTTTACTTTTTTACCGTTTTACTCTTTCTTTTTACCTTTCTCTGCTGTGGGCTCCATCCGCGTTCTCATCCGACGGACTGTATTGCATCTTCCTCTGCGTCAGCAAGCAGCACAGGAAACGCGAGCCGTCCATTGGACGAGCCTTCAACACCTGCCTTGTTGTTCCCGCCAATTCGGTGATCGTGTTCAGCTCCTTCAGAGGCGGTAATGGCGTCGCCGGAGATGATGCCGCCGACTCGCAGACGTCTGAGTTCTCCGCCGACTCAGTGAAAGAGTTTTCCTTCGAATCGCCGGGGTAATCACTCGATTTGCTCTTCATGCTGTCGCGTCGCCGGCGCCGGAAGCTTTCTCCCTTTCCCATCAGGTCGCGGTACCCGACCGCAGACAACTCGCTCACCGCCGGAGCCAGATACGAGCCGTCGATCACCATCGCGGCCACATTCAACACGCCTTGGAATCTTCCAGAAGGTCTCCGAATCTGGATGGCCGTAAACGACGGAACCTTGGACGCGACGTCGAGAAAGTTGTTGATCAGAAGTCGGACGGTGCCGACGAGGTGATCGCTGAAGCAGCCGACGGCATAGATCTGGATGGAGACCTGGGAGGTCTCGCTTGAGAGAAATGCGGACGGGACCTTGAAGAGGAACCGATCGTTCCACGTGGGGTTCTCGCCGCCGATCTTGTCGACCCGGGAGCGGATCTTGTGGGCGGAGTCGACCCAGGCGAGGGCGTAGGTCTGCATGCGGCGGAGGGCGGCGGAGGGAGGCTTGAGGCCCTGGGCGGAGATGAGGTTGATCTCCAAGACGTGCACGTGATGGTCTCCGTTTTCTTTCTTCATCATCATCGTCGTCGGTTCTCAGGCGGAATCGGAGGGCCGAGAATCGATCGAGAAAGAAGGAAAAGAGAAAACGGACGGCCTTGATGAGATTCAAGAACGTGAAGGTCGTCGGCGCATGGCTCGCCGGTGGATGGAGAGGGGACAGGCGAGAGGGAGAGGAGGTGGGGCAGGTGGGGTGGAGTAAAAAAAAAAAAAAACGAAGAGTTATGGGGAAATTGGCGGGTCCGGATTAGTCGGGGGGAATATTCGTGTTGGGTAAAAAATGAAGCGGATGGCTAGGGTTTTGCCGGGGTGTCAAGTTGCGTGGTTACAGGGTGGATGATGCATCAAATTTATACGGTGGAAAGTAAAAATCAGTGGGGTTAATTTGTTGGAACTTGCATGGTAATTCTATTATTAACCCTTTTGCTTTCAATTTACCTTCCATTCGGTTTTTTTTTTTAAACAAACAATATTATCTATATTAAAAGATGAAGAAGTGAGCAATGAGCAGCGACAATCCTTTTATGTTAAGTCAAGTTTGATTTTTATTTTTTTATAAGGAAAGTGGTAGATTTTTCTTTTAATAAATGATATTATATATATTATGAATCGGTTACATTATTTTAAGAGATGGGAAGTTTCGAGCACTTCCCATCTTATTTGTCCACTATATGAAATCAGCTCCGGTCCAAGCAGGTTTGTTCAGTTCTAAATTTCTAATTATAATTAACATGCATGAACTAATTGGTCCTTTTATATACAAAAAGAAGAAGAAGGAGAAAACGAAAGAGTTATTAAACGGCTATGAGATTAAAAAGAAAAACATGCACTAGTTGTTGCATGTTTTCTCTGTTTATCTCTAATTAACGTTGTTATATGGTACTCATAATTTTAATTACTTAAAGAGCTCCGCCCCCTCCTCCGGCACGGGCCACATTTATTAGACAAATTCCGCCGGATATGTAAAATGTGCTAATAAGCTATTAGCATCAAGGCTCCAGCTGCTAGTTTGTGTATTAAAATCTTTAGAAATCCAGATGTATTCAATTAGGATTTTAAAGAAGTTTATAAAATTTTAGGTGTATTCAATTAGAAATTGATTTTAAAGAATTTGAGAAAGTGGAGGAATTAGAGGGAATTTGAGAGATTTCGTAGTGTATTTTAAGCATCTACAAATCTTACATCTCCCTATAAGATTTCGAAGGAATTGAATCAAATTTTATATGAAACCTCTACAAATAAATTAAACTCCATAAAAATTCATGGATTTATAAATCCATTATAGTCTCTCAAATTCTCAAGTTGAATACACCCCCTAATTGATTTCTAGAGATTCTATGAAAAAATTTGATTCAATTCTCTCGAAATCTCAGGGGAGATGTGAGATTTGTGAATGCTTATATTGCACTACGAAATCTCTCTAATTCCCTCAAATTCCTCAACTTTTTAAAATCCTTCAAAATAAATTTCTAGATAAATACACCTGGAATGTTATAAATTTCTTTAAAATCATAATTGAATAAACCCGGATTTCTAAGGATTTTAATAAACTATCTTAAAATCCTAATTGAATACACATTGAATTTTAGAGAATTACTTAAAATCATGATTAAATACCGCTAGATTCATTAAAAGAATTAAAATATCTCAAATTCTCAATTGAATACCCTCTCTTAAGTTCTGTCTCGTGAACGAGAGTTGTTGGATGATGCTAGATATCGGATAAAAAGAACATTATAAAGTGCACGAACAATACATTACTCTGCCAGACGAGTTGGATATAGCTCGTTGCTGTTCGTTTCCGGCCTCAATGAACTTCAGCGTGATTGCCCTATGTTTCTCGTTCTCTTTTTCATTCTCTTCGATCAGCTTTCTACCACTTTCAGAGTTCTGTGACATCTCCATCGACGGAGGATGCCTCGAACAGAACGTCAGTGTTACATTACGCTTTTTCGTTCTAATCCTAAGTCGAACATTATTAGCCCTCCACCGGCTCTCTAGGCTCTAGGCTCTAGCTAGTTTGATTTTGATTAATTTGTCACCGTGATTTCATTGTACTTGTTTAATTTCCCAAGTGTGTACAAAACTATATCCTATTGCTAAGTCTGGTTATAATACACCATGCATATACACGTGTTGTATGCATTGGATGCAAACTACAATCACTGTATTTGATGCAAATTAAAAATAAATGAAGGAAAGTTGAACGTTGCGTAAACGTGTTTTGGTCGAGATATAGAGGTTCTATGCTCTTTCTCACGAAGATTATATTGCGAAAACGTGTTTTGGCCAAAACAGAGATGTTATGTTCGGGGACGTTCTACGTTCAGTCTCTCTCGAAAACGTGTTATGGCAAAAACATAGACATTATGCTGGAGGCATTCTACGTCTCTGTCTCATGAATGATTATGTCATGGTCTCTGTCTTATGAATGATTGTGTCATGAAAACGTGTTTTGGCCGAGATATGTACATGATGTTGGAGAAGGTTCTACCTTATATCGCGCGAATGATTATGTTAAAAAAAGTTCAAGTTCTTGCAATAGGTGATGAAATTTATTTACCAAAATAATACTGGACCTCAATTATTCCTAACATTACTTTGGTACGTATACAGACATTATCATCTGGAGTTTGGTGGCTTCGTTTTACGAAAAAAATGCAAGATGGAAAATATATACTGAAACAGTCCTTTATTTTTCTGTAAAATTGAAAAAAAAAAAAAAAAAGTAAATACAAATTCACACATTATAGATACACAGACACTCAAACCAAACCCCAGATTACAACTGCTTACATTCATTCAATTGAGATATGAAATGAACTTTTCACATTGCAACACCAGCATCCATCTCCTTGGAACAATTGTTTGATGGCCTGGCACGAGAAGGTAACCTTCTACCCCTTACTTTCTTCTTCCGAGCCAATTTTTTCTCCAAGTCTTTCACTCTGCCGGTCAGGTTCGATATAGCTTGTAGCTGTTCATTTCCGGCTTCCATGAACTTCTGCATCATTGCCCTGAGTTTCTCGTTCTCTTCAATCAGCTTTCTACCACTTTCGAGTTCCATGACATCTCCATCAATGGAGGATGCCTCGATCGCTACTTGTTTCTCAGGCAATGATTCACTCTTCTGCACTGGAGTGGATTGTGTCTCACTGAAGACGTCATCCACAACAGTTTCAGCAACATTAGGCGGTGCATTCTTGTTGTCCTCGCATTTGAGGTTGATCTCCTGCATCTTTGTATCCTCTATAACTGTTTCTGCTCGCAGGTGCTCACAGTCTTTTGTACTTCTCTCAATTGGCACTTGGTCCTCGCTAGGCCGGCCCAAATGATGATCATGAATCATGTCCAAGGGTCCATCTTCATGCACAACATCATGAGCTTCGGTCTGAACAGGTAAGCTCAGTGCTTGGGTTTCAATCGACTCAGAGGCCAGTGGAAGATGATCATCTTTGCCGACTTGTTCTTGTGGCTGGAGCACTACCTCTAAATCAAGCACTGAATCTGAAGGGCGTCCTTCATCCTCCTGAGATCCAATCTCTACCTGCTGCTCAAAACGGACAACAGGTTGCTCTTCCCCTGCTCCCTCTCGTCGTTGCTCTAATTGATCCGTATTTGAAGTTCCATCCGGTTGTGAAGTTACATCAAATGCCACATGATGTTCTTCTCCACTTTGTAGGGAATCATCTTCCTTCACCACTCCGACTTCTTCAATTTCCTTGGACTCATTAAGTGCATTGTGCTCATCAGTCATGCCCCGTGGCAGTTCTGCTAGCTCTTGCATCTCTGCTTCCTTTTCCGTCACATAAGCACAAGCATTTGATGAAGTCACATCTGGCAACAGTTCTACTTGTTCAACGATTTTAGGCTCCAAAATGGTAGATTCGGTAAGTGCATTGTACTCATCAATCATGCCCCGTGACAGTTCTGCTATCTCTTGCATCTCTAAGTCCTTTTCCATCACACAAGCACAAGCATTTGGTGGAGTCACATCCGGCAACACTTCCACTTGTTCATCCTTCCCAGGCTCCAAAATGGCAGGTTCGTCATCAGTTACTCCTCGAGGCAACTCTCCAGGCTCTCTTGTCTCTACGTTTATATTAACAGCTTCGGAAGAGTTTCCTGTCAGAGTATGGTTTCCTTCTATTAGAGATGGTGCTTCACTGCATTGCCCAGGCTGAGTAAAACCATTCTTCATTTCTGCATCTCCCACCGCCATATCTCCAGTAGACTGTTCACCAACCACATCATCTTTTGTTTCCACAATGGGCGCAAAACCATTATCTTCAGACTTTAAGCAACTTTCCACCTGTAGCTCTTGATCACCATCCTCTGCTGCGGCGTGCAACTCTCTATGATTACAATGGCCTGGTTCCTTGGCTCTCAAACCAGGCTCAGGTTCAACATTCTGAAGCACTTCCCCTTGACAATGGTCTGTACCATGATGACTGCTATCACTGACACCATCAGGCAATCCTTCACCAAGTCCAGTCACGTCCTCTCTTTGCTGCTCTAGCATGCAGTTACCGTTGTTGGTGTTCTCACCGAGCTCGTCAAGCTTTTCCTGCAGAACTACGAGCTCCCTTGCCAAGGATCTTCTAATGTCTCTGAGGCTTGGAAGCAAACCCTGTTGAACAACCACCAAATACGCAACCAGAACAGCATAGTTTTAAAACAAATCCCACAATCTAGAAACTTTTAGATTCAGGTGCCTCTTTCATTGCTACGACGGAGAATCATCTAAGCATAAACTACATACATCAATTACTTTTAAACGAACACTATAACATGAGGGTTGAGGGTTTGCAAATCTGTCCATTTCTGCACGTGTTTGTGAGTGCGCGAGTGTGCGTGCACAAGGGTCTTTAACTCAACCAGTTTAAGTACATACCTGAATGGTATCCAACTTGAGGAGGAGTCTCATGATTGTCTCCCCAATTATTACTCTCTGCTTGTCATCTTTCTGGAGATCAGAAGTCTCTAAAGTGGAGATACGATTACGAATATCAGCAACCTGCTCACGAATGTCAGCTATTTGCTTTAGTTTCTTCAATGGTTCCCACCTCCTGACCTCAAACCCACGAAAGGCAGATTGAATAAGCACAGCAGCCTCTATATCTGACAATGTCCTCGCAAGTTTTCCATCAGCAACTGATTTGGTTGCCTCCGTAGGCTTATTAGTCTCCTCAGATTTTGCATCTGCAACCTTTTGTGCTCCTTCATCCTTGTTGGTCCGACATCTATCTCCATCCTTCTCAGATTCCCAAACGGTTGAATTCCTAGAAACATCCTCTTTAGAATTAGTAAGAATCTTGGATGTATGCATCGGATCCTTGTTCTCACTGATTGTCCTATCCACCACCTCTGTATCCTTCTCCTTTATGGATGGCTCCACTTCTTTTTTGTGTCCTTTTTGAGCAGGAGGACTAGGAGACCGTGAACTGCCATTGGCCTTCTTCTTCCTCGGCAGTGGATCAACTCTCAGACAGACGGGAGGTAGCTCAGATGACTTTTTAGGGGAAGAGGACTGTCTCTTAACACTCGTACCAGAAGGTTTGTTCCCCACATTCTCTTCCACTTGTTTCACGGGGACACTCCTTTCTCTTCTCTCCTCGTCTTCAGAGTTATTTTCCTCCTTACGTGGATCCATTTGCTTCACAACTATGCTTTTCACGTTAGCAGTGTTTTCCTTCCTCTCCTCAGCACCCTGACCAGCAGGTTTCTCTTCATTTGTACCAGCCTCCATTGTGACACCACCCCCAGTAATTTTCATTGGAACAATTTTTGGTGCGGAATTCACCTCCCTGTTGTCCTCCTTTCGAACTTCCTCCTGCTTGTTTCCGTAAGGAAACCAGAAGAATGGAAATGGGATTTGCTTATGTTCATCCTCAGTCTTGTGATCACGAGAAGCATTGACATTCTTGTCCTTCTTTCCAGCCTCCTGATAAGGTGGCATCCAGAAAATTGGAAATGGGAATTCCTTCTTTTTATCCTCCACCTGCTGTTCTTGACGTGGCTCTCTATTTCCTCCTTGCATCGAAGCCCCAATGTCATTCAGATCAAAAGGGAACCGAATATGCCTTTGATCTCCCTGAGACTTCAAACCCTCTGTAGGCTTAGAATCAGTTGGAATTTTTGTTTCCTCTACGACCTCCGGTTCGGAAACCTTCCTTTGCTCTCTACCATTCAAGGAATCCGGTGGAAACCACAAAGTTGGATAATGGTTGTTGTTCATATGAACCGGAACCAAATCTGCCTTCTTATCGACAACATCCGATCCTTGTTCTTCAATCTTCACACCCTTATCTACATTCTGGTGGCAAACATGATTAGGACACCCAAAACAGTGATAATTTCGAGGTACCATCTTATCATACTCATATTTAGGAATCTCCATGGAATAATGAGGAGGCGGCGGCACATATGGAACAGGGTAGGCCTCGTGATGCGGAACAGGATAACCCCCATAGAAGTGTTGCGGTGATGGCATTGAAGGATGAGGGTAAGAGGGTCTGAAATTATGGTTATAGCAAGAATGGCAAGGCATTGGGTAGCCATAGTTTCCGCCACAGGGCCAAGGCTCACATACCATGGACGGATTGGACCCGAAACCCGGATTATGATACTGAGGGTAAGAGAAAGTTTGGTTTCTTTGGTAGGGGTTTGAATCCATGTATCTGTATAATGGCATCATTATTCATCAACTCTATACACACAAAGACGAAAAAGGAATTCTCCAAAAAGTGTTTAAACAACACCAAAAGCACTTGTTAAATCTGTTGACATAAAAGGAACGAGAAAATGCTTAGAACTTAAATTCCTAAAAGTCTAAACCATAGCGGAAAAAAGAACCAACAAGCACCAAACGGTAATCGCATTCAAACTAATGTTCTATAACTAACAAGCACTAAATTCAAATTTATGAACTTTTAATCCCAAATTTCCAAACCGTACCTTAAATTCAAACTCATAAATTGGACCTAGTAAATAAGAAGATGCATACCAAAGATTATAGAAATTCCAGATTTAGAGAGAGACAGCATACAAAGTAAAAAGCTTGCATTCAGATTAATGGGTTTTTCTAAGACAATACAAATCAGAAGATTCGAAACAAAATTCGTAAAAAGTCCAAATTTTGATTTCTGGGTTTTCATTCTCCACTCAAAATTCACAAAAAGTTCAAATCTTTTTTCCTGAGTTATTACTATTCATCTAAATCTTCTCTCAGATAATCTCACATCATTGCAGAAACAAAGGAAAACGCAAAATCACAAGGAGAAGAAAGAAGAGAGGAAGAACTTACAGTTTATTTTCTCGAGAAAATTCAAACAGCCAATTGCGGTTCCACAATCCGGATGACAAAGTTATCGGAGCGAATCGGTCCACAAACCCGAAAATTAGAAAAATGGAAGCTTTTGTAGTCTGGTTTTCTTTCGGCTTTCGCTTTCTGAAATTCAAAATCTGTGTTTTGGGGAGAAAGGAGTCGAGCAATATATAGGAAAGGCTAGAAATGCAAATCAACGGGAAAAATCCGAGGCTTGGTGTTTCGAGATGTTTCCCGCGACATCCAACGCTGGAGTTTTCTGGAGGTTTCTAACAACGTGCAGTTCGTCTTTGTCGGACACGTGTGAGTTTTGAGTTTTCTCCCCAAAGAGGGTATTTGTCTGGCTCATTCTTTCTTCGGTGTGAGTCTAGATCGTTCTTTAATTTTTATTCAATCGATTCATTAGTTTTCTTTTTTTTTAGAAATTTTAATGAAAAGTTTTCGATACTATTTATTTTAACGAAAAATTATATTTTTACATTAAAAATTAATTCTGTTACTATTTATTTTATCCTTTATTTTGTCTTTATCATTAAAACTCAAAGTTTTCAAGCCATTTTTATTAGTTTTTTTTTTGTTAGTAAGAGATATAAGATTTGATTCTTACAAAAAAATAAATTTGAATCACATTATTGCTAACTCATTGCGAGACTAAACTCATTTCCTCACATGCAGATAATATCATTTGTTAAAAAAAAAAACCTTTATTCAATCAAATTCAAGATGAGATTTGTTGATGCACAAAATCAGTGGGGACTTTTGTACAACAGAAAATGTTAAGTTTGTGACATTCGCTAGATTGTTCCGGTCACTGGTGTGGATAAGTAAGTAAATGGATAGGGACAGGGAAGCAAACACAAGATGTACGTGGTTCACCCAAATTGGCTACGTCTACGGAGTAGAGGAGTTCTCATTAATTGTGAAGGGTTTACACAAGTACATAGGTTCAAGCTTTCCTTTAGTGAGTACTAGTGAATGATTTAGTACAAATGACATTAGGAAATATTGTGAGAGAATGATCTCTATTTATAGAAGAGAGTTTCTAGTTTCATTCTGACATTGACATGTGTCGTGTTGTGATTGGCTTATGATGTTGACACGTGTCACGATATAATTGGCTTCTGATGTCGACACGTGTCGCGCTATGATTGGCCTCCTGGTTGGAGGGAAACTCTTCTGGGTCCTTGATGGTATAACGTTGACCGGTGCTCAGTAGTTTTGGGATTGGTCAAGTATGGTACAAACAGTGCTCCCCTAAGTTCCCGAGTGAGGGAAGCTCCTCGGTTGGGGACTTGCAAGATCCAAGCCATTGAGTAATCACGAAACTTCTAAGTACCGAAATGTGGTATCATTTTCACTTGCCTTATCTGTCTCATATGTATATGTGACATCTTCTCTGGAAGTACTTTTCCTCCATCCAGGGATGGTATCTTTAACCGATGAAGATGCACAAGGTAATGTATTAATTTCATTTGAAGCTTACTTGTAGTTTTGGGCTTGGTCAAATGCGATACAAACCCTATAGCAGGAGTCCCCCAAGTCGCCGAGCTAGGAGATTTGCCGAAGGAGGTAACAGACAAGGTAAGTAATCAGACTTCCAAGCAAGCAACCTGGATTGGAGGTTCGACTTCGGCTTCCGGTTGATTGTTCTTATTCTCCTTGTGTCGTAAACAGCAACAAGGATAAGGAGAAACAAATGGAGAAGAGATGATATGAGATACTTTTGCTTTTGAATAAGTAACTTTCCACAGGCTTATTCTTGAACTGGGCTGGAGGGTTTTCTGATTTCCTCCAGAGTATAAGGCCGACTCAAGAATTTGAGGGTCAAAACAAGTCCATCAAATCTAGAGTACGTTCGACCCTGATGATATGAGATACTTTTGCTGTTGACAAAGTAATGGATGTATCGGCACGCGTTCTGTTACGCTTGTCTCCACATGCTTCCTTGTATCCTTCTCACTTGCCCTATCTGTTCCTCAGGCAGATGTGGTATCTTCTCTGGAAGCATAAGATGTTGAAGATGAGTACTCGAGAGCAATGCTAGGTAAGTAATCAGGCAAGGGGTTCTAGGCAGTCAATTCCTGACTGGAAGCTTGATTCCAAGTGCTAACTGATTGCTCTCTTTCTCCTTGTCTTGCAGGTAAGAACAAGGCCAAAGGAAAAGACAGGGAAAAAAATATGATATGGGATACTATTGCTTTTAACCTTAATGATATGAGATACTCTTGCTCTGGTGTGGTTTGTTTGCAGAGGTATTATCAGGAGGAAAATAAGCTGAGTATTTCGAGAGACTCTGCTGAGAGTGCCCTCTCGGATGTGAAGAAAAGTTAAGCATTTTTTTTATTTGCAGGTCTACCTGGTTGTGGAGGATGGAGGTCGACATATATAGGAGTCTCCCTAACAACAAGTAGTAGTGTTATTCCTTTACCTTTCTTGGTCATAGCAGTGTAATGGGAGTTGCAAGTTTCACGTGTTTTAACTTTGTCAGGGCACTTTGAAAAAGTAGTATGTGGTATCTGGAAAGCTGATGTTGCGTGTGAAGATTGCAGACAAGCTTTATCCAAGGAAATCTGGCTCTCGAAGTTCGGAGAGCGATGCCTCTTCGATTTTCGAACAAGCAATCTTGTCAGGGATCTGAATCTCGAGATTCAGATAATAGTGCCTCTTCGATTTTTGAGAAAGCAATCCTGTTGGGAGTCTAACTCTTGAGATTCGGAGAGTAGTGTCTCTTCGATTTTTGAGAAAGTAATCCTGTTGGGAGTCTGGCTCTCGAGATTCAGAGGGCGGTGCCTTTTCAATTTTTGAACCCGATGAGCTGATGTTGCGTGTGGAAAGTGGTGCCTCTTCAGAATTCGGAGAATGGTGCCTCTTCGATTTTTGAACCAACGGCCCTGTTGCCCTTTCTTTTATAAGGGCACTAATTATGTGCAAGAAGTACATTCAGAGAGTTATTGCTTGTAGGAATTTTCCCCTTACTTCAGAGATTTATTGCATCTCATTTCTCCTTCATCATTTCTGAGAATGTCTGGCCTATCCGACCGTCGTTTTGACTTGAACTTTGGTGAAGAGGCAGCCATGCCTTCTCAAAACAACATATGGCGCCCATCCTTCTTATCTCCTACTGGTCCTTTTACCGTTGGGGACTCTGTGATGAAGAATGATATGATCGCTGTGGTGGTGGCCATGAACCTTCTCACTCCCAAAGATAACAGACTACTTTCCAAACGGTCTGATGAGTTGGCTGTTAAGGATTCTCTGGCTTTCAGTGTTCAGTGTGCAGGTTCTGTGTCTAATATGGCCCAACGCCTATTTGTTCGAACCCATCAAGTTGAATCATTGGCGGCTGAAGTGATAAGTCTCAAACAGGATATCAGAGGGCTCAAGCATGAGAATAAACAGTTGCACAAACTCGCACATGACTATGCTACAAACATAAAGATGAAGCTCGACCAAGTGCAGGAATCTGATGGTTAGATTTTACTTGATCATCAGAGGTTTGTGGGTTTGTTCCAAAGGCATTTATTACCTTCGTCTTCTGGGGCTGTACCGCGTAATAAAGCTCCAAATGATCAACCTTCGATGCCTCCTCATTCTGGGGTTCTGCCTAGTACTGAGGCTCTGAATAATCACCCTCTGGTGTCTCCTCTTTTTGGGGCTCTGCCGACTGCTGAGACTTATCCTGAGCAACCTTTGTGAAGGCTCCCTCTTATTTGTTTATTTTGATTCATGTATATGTACATATTTGTAACTTATCAGAGATATCAATAAACAAGCTTTGCTTCATTTCAACGTATTGTGTTAAATACACCAAGGCCTTCTTCACTAAGTTCTTTGAATTTTTCCTTTTGTTGAAGCTTGTATGTTGAAGCTTTGTGAGTGAAGCATGTAGGTTGAGGTAGTGCTCCCTTAATTTCCCGAGTGAGGAAAACTTCTCGTTTGGAGACTTGAAAAATCCAAGTCACTGAGTGGTCGTGAGACTTCTGAGTATCAAGGTGCAGTAGCATATGGTAAGAGTCCCCCAAGTCTCCGGTCGAGGGAGTTAACGAATGAGGCATTTCCTTTCTAAGTGGTAGCCCAAAACTCATTCTTCATATATATTTGTTATGAAAGTTGTTAGGCCCGAAGAAGAGGAGGCCTAGGCAATTTTTTTTTTCGATTTTTTTTTATTCGAAATTTTTTTTTTTGATTTTTCGAATTTTCGAAAAAAAAAATATATATATATATATATTTTTTTTTTAAAGCTTTGTAGGTGAAGCTTTGGTGTTGAAGCTTTATAAGTGAAGCTTTGTTGGGTACTATGAATTGATTTATCTTCACACTATCTTGATCAAGATAATGTGAAGCTTTTGTAGGTGAAGCTTTTGTGTTGAAGCTTTGTAGGTGAAGCTTTTGTGTTGAAGCTTTGTAGGTGAAGCTTTTGTGGATGAAGCTTTTGTGGTGGGTGAAGCTTTTATGGCTTTTGGGTGAAGCTTTTTGTGGTGAAGCTTTTGTGGGTGAAGCTTTTGTGGTGACTTTTGTGGTGGGTGAAGCTTTTGTGGGTGAAGCTTTTTGTGGTGAAGCTTTGGTGGTGGGTGAAGCTTTTGTGGGGTGAAGCTTTTGTGGTGTTTTGGGTGAAACTTTTGTTGTTGAAGCTTTTGTTGGTGAAGCTTTGTTGGTGAAGCTTGCTTTTGTTGTGAAGCTTTTGTGGTGAAGCTTTTGTTGGTGAAGCTTTTGTTGGGTGAAGCTTTTGTTGGTGAAGCTTTTGTGGGTGAAGCTTTTGTTGGTGAAGCTTTTGTGGGTGAAGCTTTTGTTGGTGAAGCTTTTATGGATGAAGCTTTTGTAGGTGAAGCTTTTGTGGTGGGTGAAGCTTTGGAGTTGAAGCTTTGTAGGTGAAGCTTTTGTGGTGGGTGAAGCTTTGGATTTGAAGCTTTGTAGGTGAATCTTTTGTTGGTGAAGCTTTTATGGGTGAAGCTTTTGTAGGTGAAGCTTTTGTAGGTGAAGCTTTTGAGTTGAAGCTTTTGTAGGTGAAGCTTTGGAGTTGAAACTTTGTAGGTGAAGCTTTGGAGTTGAAGCTTTTGTTGGGTACCATGAATTGGTTTTGCTTCACACTTTGTTGGTGAAGCTTTTATGGGTGAAGATTTTGTAGGTAAAGCTTTTGTGGGTGAAGCTTTTGTATGTGAAGCTTTGGATTTGAAACTTTGTAGGTGAAGCTTTGGAGTT